CATAAAATCTATTGTCATACCTTCATGTCTACGTCATAAAATCTATTGTCATACCTTCATGTCTACGTCATAAAATCTATTGTCATACCTTCATGTCTACGTCATAAAATCTATTTTCATACATCCATATCTACGTCATAAAATCTATTGTCATACATCCATATCTACGTCATAAAATCTATTGTCATACCTTCATATCTACGTCATAAAATCTATTTTCATACATTCATATCTACGTCATAAAATCTATTGTCATACATTCATGTCTACGTCATAAAATCTATTGTCATACCTTTATATTTACGTCGTATATTTGTTTTTTTCTGAAGTAATTCTCCTTTCCTCTTCTCTCTGATGGTCATAGTCAACTTATGGTCACTGTGTGGTTTATTTGAAGAATGTCCACTTATTTCGTTCTCTTTCTCTGCCAACGCCTCTTGACGGCTGACCTTTAAGGAACGAATCAAGCGAATGCGGGGATGTGACCCCCTTACACAGTGGGGTAGGTTGCCGGGGCTCCAGGCTCCATCGACACACGTAGCTCCGGGGGGGCCGTCCGTCAACATGTAACTTCTTTGACATTCGTACATGATCTGCCTATTATTTTTCACTTTTCGAACGTATGGCCTGTAGTCATACATCCCCATGTATCCAACGAGAAGGACTCGACCGTGCTTTAGATACCCAGGGAATGGGCAGTAGACTGAATGACAAGGAAATAAATAAATATACGTACCCACACACACATGCATATAACATGTATCACGGTTTCTATTATCGGTACATATACATACATATAATATACTTGTTTATATTATTTATCCAGTTCCATGTGATTACCAATCTTTCAATACAGAATATAGACTGTTGTCATGGCGATGCTTTTATACAACTGACCAATCCGGAAATATCTTTGTTTTATTTTTAACTGTCTTTTATTTACACTGCACTTTTGGGTTCCTTTCAGAGGCAAAAAACGTATTATATCTGTTACTATTTTTGCAGGCTCACCCCTCACTCCTCCACGTGGATCAACGGTAAACTTGACAGTTTATGACGCTAAATTTGGGGTTCGATCTCAGAAATGTGAAGGATGTAAACAGCCCATTGTGCAGCTTCGCTAAACAAACAAAACCGCTTGAAGTAAGAAAACAAACACGAATTTTCATGTATGATTTGATAAAATGATTGTAACTAGTCAATTATATTTTGAAATAAATTGCTACTTGTCAAATGTATGTTTTACTTTCTTTCACAACTATCAAAACTATATGTACGTATGTATGTGTTTCAAAAGTTAACCTAACGAAATCATCTCATAAGAGGTGCTTTAATTGACAAGAGAATGGTCTATTTTATATCAGCCATACGAAAACGATGTTTATAAATTAATGATAAAATAACACGAGTTCGTTTTAGAAATTACGAAATATATACAAAAATTTATTCAAATCTTTACAGTCTAATTCATTAATATAAAGTATTCAAAAATTTTATATAAATATTGTAGATAAAAAAAATTAATAATTCAAATTCAAAATTAGCTGGGCCTGACGTGGTTTCATGTCCGAAGATTCATGGTTCACGTTTCGCTTTCATAATTACACCCTCTGCACTTTGGGGTTGTGAGTACGCTATAAGGACGATAGTCAAATCCCGGTATTCGGTCAGTGGTTGGTATTGGTTAGATCCTTTCTCTCTTTAATCTAATAGTTCAAAATTAAAAGGGCTACGCGCAGGTAGTCCTTTGTGTAGCCCAAAGAAATCCTAACAACAAAGATGTATTCCTGTTGTCATCAGTACTTATTTCCTAAAAATGAGGATATGCTTATTTCAATACCTACTTTCCTCACAGCGAGGAACATTCCCAATCCACTGACCAAAGCTACACGTGGTAACGTTAGGGCCAACGATTCTGTATCCGTCTTTACAACGAAATAGAGCTGTTCGTCCGTGGTCAGTTTTAGGAGCGATGACCATTCCGTGACGTGGCTTTCTCGGAAGATATTTACATCTAGCTGAAGAATAAAGAAAATACATAGAGCTTTACAATCATGTGTATATGATAAAATAGGTGATGAAAGGGTTATAAAAAAAATGTATTATTTTACAAGTAAAAAATGGCTCGAGGGAAAAAAGTCACTAGTTGTTATGAATCCCGTTATAGAGGGCAGTAATTTGCACCAATAGAACGAGTTCTTTATTCCAACACGTTATACAGAAGAAATTTGCACCAATAAAATGAGTTCTTTATTCCAGCATTCACAACAATATCTAATAATTCATACAATAAATTGAGACACTTAAATTGTAGTTCTTCACAAACATATTTTAATCGTTTCTAAGCCCGTGTATCGGTAATTAAGTAAATGCGGTCTGTCTGAACTATTAGTCACAAAGTTAGTTAATTATGTTCAATTTAGGTTCTTTTTAGGAACAATGCTTTAACTTTAAACAAACATTTAATCATGGTTTGTTTGTAATTAAGTGCAAAACTACACATTGTGCTATTTGAGATGTGTTTACCACGGGTATCGAAACCCAGTTTTTAACGCATTAGTCCACAGATTTACCGCTGCGTCACTGGGGGCCAAATAGTCATGAAGTTAGCTAATTATGCTTAATTTAGAATCTTCTTACAAACAAAGCTTTAACGTTATCCGAACACTAATCTTGTTTCTGTTTTTTGAACAGAATATTTGAAGTTATTATCTTCCATTTGTCCTTTGGTAAATATTTTCCGGAATTTTTTTTCCAAACAGAACTTTTAAGGACGTATAGACCATACCAACATACGCGCGTTTATCATGTGAATAATAAAACATCATTACACTCACGAAAATTAAAGTGTCCGTATACTTAGAGTTATTGGGGGTCTTGCCCCCTCCCTTCTTGAGCACGCTCCTGGATAATCACTTTTCAAATTGTAGTTTCTATTCTAACAGTAATTTTATGGCAAATAGCATAAATATAACGTGCTGGAAGACTAAAGCTAAACACTGAATAAAATTATATACACCAGCAGGGATGTTGTTATGTCAAACTTAGAAGTGAGAGGTACCACGATTACCCTTAACCCCCCCCCCGAAAGAACAGCTAACTATCAAACTGGTTATTTAATAAGGCTACCGTGTTTACTAATTAACCAGGATTTCTCAGAAAAATCACTGCTTCAGGTGTATTGTTATAAAGCAATAGTACATGCAAGGTCAGAGAGATTTCAGCTAGTGATGAAAAATTAATTTTATATAAAGTATGAAAATAGTGCTTCCGTTGCACGTGAAGCAAGTGATCAGTGTGTGGTAATTTATTTTTACAGCATATAATGTAAAATTAACATATTTATGGCCAACTAGTGACCGTCCCTCGACCCTGAAGTTAAGCCCGAGGACGGTTCTTGTTTCCGAGAGACAGGAAGAATGTAGTAGTTGGAATTGTTAAGAAGTGCCTTACCAGGAGATACTAAGGGGCTACGTAGGGCCTCGCCTGGTGTGGTAGAGGTCTTGGAATCAAAACCGTGACGAGGAAATATATTGTCAAAAAAAAAAAATGAAAATACTACAGGTGCTCCTTTGGGAACCCACTGGACTACACCACTGTGTGCAAGAAAAAATGAATTAAAAACAGCCAAAATGATTCTAAGTATCGTATGATGATACTAGTCGTTTCATTTCTGTTCACGTTTCTTTAGTCCTTGATGTAAACAAGTCAAAGTTAAACCTCGATAATAATTTACGTTTCCACATCTCATTAACAACTTCAAAAATTACATACCTGTCTCCAGTTTTGTTTAAAAGCAACCACTTTCGAATCAAAAATATCATTTATAAACAATTACACGATACTGCCACTGATTAGCTTTGATAGCAAAGTTAGGTATGAAACACTCGAACTTCAGAGTTCAACTATTACTTGGATAAAATTTTACTTACTAAATATAGAAGATCGTTCTAGATAAATTACTTAGTTCATCAAGAGTTCAAGTAGCACGTAGGCCTCGTAGCTACTTACGACAAAAAATTTTATCACTTTAATGATGGAAACTCGTGACTTGGAAATATGGCGCTGTACATATCAAGCTAAATGTGATAATTATAATTCGTGCATATAACTATCCTCAGATTTTCATTACGTACACTGCACTGAACTGATGTCTTTGCGAAATTGTTTTAACAAATTTCTATCAGTGCTCTTGTGCGTTTTTTGGAAGTTTTTGGACCGTTTTTAAGACCAAAAGTAATATCAAGAATGTTGAAATGTGTTTTGTAACTTCTTATTTATCAATTTTCCAAAACGATGACAAATTTAACGACAACTGACCTAAAAATTTAGTACTTGTTCATAATTTAGCGTCAAGAACAAACGCATGAGACGAACAAGCGAGAAAAAGTTTCAAATCATATATTATTTTACTGCCTAAACCTTGTTATTCAGCTTTCAAGTGTAATCGTTTAAATGTGATTCAAATACTTAAGGGCTTTGTACACTGTCGCATAAAGTTTATAATTTACCAGGTACACAGACAGGCACGTGCGTCCACGTGCCGTTCCTGCATGTTACAGGTGTAGCGTTGTACAGGAGCTCGTGCTGCTGCTTACAATCCACGTGGATTTCTTGTCCATCCTCTACTCTCGTTCCTGGCTGAAACTGATTTACTCGACCATTTGTTACATCCGGGACAACACAGTAAGCTGTAGGATTGTTAGAACAGTATAATTAATGCTAGTACTTCACAAACAACAAGTACCGTATATCATTTCATAGTTTGAATAATATGAAGCTTCAATTCATCAGTCGATACAGTAAGGGCTATATACACCTTTATACATGCGTATATATATATACATAAACACACACACACACACACACATATATATATATAGATATATACATAAACACATAAACACACACACACACATATATATATATAGATAAACACACACACACACACACACACATATATATATATAGATATATACATAAACACACACACACACATATATATATATACACACACACACACACACACAACATACATATACGCAGAGAAAAAATATTGATAAAGCTGGGCGTGTCCTAAGACTAGTGAACTGGACTGCGGATCCGAAGGTCTATGATTAGAGTCCCGTCGTCGTTCTTTGGTGTCGCCAAACCGCGCTCTGTATTTTAGGAACATGGCTACGTTATAAAAGTGACGGTCAAAACCCATTCTTCGATTAGAATAGTTCAAGAGTTGGCGGTGAGTGCTCCCGACAAGCTGTTTTCCCTCTAGTCTGTCACTTGAAAATTAAGGATGGCTAAAACAGATAGCCCTCCTGTAGCTTTGTGTGAATATCCCAAACAAAAAATAGTAGCTTAATACGTCTGCATGATGTATCAACCATCGCCATCTCGTGAGTAATAAATTCTAGTTTGTAAACGAAGGATTTTTTCATAGTTATAAGAAAATGTATTAAAGCCGTTTACTGTTTAACTAAAATAAGTGCTCGGTTGTGAAAGGATGCACTCAGAAACTCTAATTACATCCGTTAGATAATTAATTCTGATAATTTTGTTTTAGACGAGAATTAGGATTTTAAATTTTTTTTGGAAATAATTTGCCTACAGTGTAAAAGCGTACGATTTACGATCTTTGAAAGGTTTTAACTGTTTTCATCTCAATATTCGTTTTGTAGCACATTTTTATGGTATATTCGACGACGTAACTGTTTGTTTCACGAGTGGAAGTGGTTAGATATGAGTGTAGATGTCAGTCAGACCTAAAGAAAGCTTCAGTAAAGAGATCGAAACGTTCACTACAACCAGGTTTAGTTTAAAACGTTCAAATTCAAGTGTTGTCTGACAAGCAAGTGGTTAAGTGGTAATTAATGTCGAAAGGTTTACTTATTTGTTCACCTGAAATACACCTCATGTATAGAATAGGCTAAACTGCCAGGTTAAATGTTCCCTATGTTTTAGCACAACCGTTCCCAGTTTCGAACTGCAGACCAGAGGAAAACAATCAGTCGGCAGCCTCTGAAGGGGCTACTCCTTAATCGAATAGCGAGTTTGTTCATTCTTTGTTCTGAATTTCGCGCAAACTACACGATGGCTATCTGCGCTAACCGTCCCTAATTTAGCAGTGACGATTAGAGGGAAAGCAGCTAGTCAAAATCACCCACCGCTAACTCTTTTACCAACGAATAGTGGGATTGACCGTCACATTATAACGCCTCCACGTCTGAAAGGGCGAGCATGTTTGGTGTGACGGGGATTCGAACCCGCGACCCTCAGATTGCGAGTCGAGCGCCTTAACCACCTGGCCATGCCGGGCCGAGGATTTAAATCTCCGATCCACGGATTGCGAGTCGAGCCCTAACCACCAGGTGATACCAGGCATTTCGAATAGCGGGATTGTCACTCTTAAAATCTGAAAGTATTTGATAGTACCACGTTTCGAACCAAAGATCCTGAGATATCCAGTCAGATACGATAACTACTAGGCCACGCTTGGGCAGATTATGTCGAGAAGGGAATTAGTAGGCAAATGATTTATTAAAAATGACGGTGATAATGTAGTAGAGACTACTAATTCTATTGGAATAGTTTCTCGTTTGTTTGTTTTTGAATTTCGCGCAATGCTACACGAGGGCTATCTGCGCTAGCCGTCCCTAATTTAGCAGTGTAAAACTAGAGGGAAGGCTGCTAGTCATCACCATTCTTGGGCTATTTTTTTTACCAACGAATAGTGTGATTGACCGTCACATAATAACGCCCCCACGGCTGAAATAGCGAGCATGTTTGGCGGGACGGGGATTCGAACCCGCGACTCTCAGATTGCGAGTAGAGCGCCATAACCACCTGGTTATGCCGGGCCCGAATAGTTTCTGTGTGACTCTCTGCTATAACAACCTAATTTTGGCTGACAAAATGATGTAATTTTCTATGTATCTCAAAATATTTTAACGAAAAAAAAAAATTCAAGAAACACATACATAACAAAATGTTACCTACAGGTGCTGGTTAAAGAAAAATATACGATTATACCTCATTAAATAATAATAATAATAAAGTATAGCGTTACCTAAACATTGGGGAAGTGGATTGGACCAAGTACCATTTTCTAGACACGTGGTCGAAATAAAGTTTCCCTGAAACTTCATTCCATCAAAGCAGTGAAAAACTATAACTGAGCCTACAGTCGTTGTCTTGCCTTGTAGGTAACCGTTATGGAGATCTTTCAACTTCCCGCAGTTTGTTTCTAATTATAAAAAATAAAAAACAGATAAATACTAATTCTTAGGTAATTTTAAATGAAAGCAACTAATAGGAATTTTTAATCACTAAACAAGCCGCTTAAGACAGTGGTGGGACCTGGGCGAAGTATAAGCTTATTTCCCCACTCCTTTGCTTAATCTTGCTTTTTAAGAAAAATACCATACAATGTGATAAACTAAATTTATTAGTGATGAGAAATTAAGGAAATAAAAAACCAACATACTAAGAACTGGTTTATTATTATTTTATTATACACTTCATATTTTATCATTTATTATTATACCCGCAAAGCGCGGTGGATCCCTAACGGCGGTGGGCCCTGGGCAACTGATCCTTATGCCCATTGAATAAAGCGGTCTTGGAACAAGCAAACGAATGGAGCTGGATTATACAATATACTAGTCTGTGTGTTGTATGTTTCCTGTTTTAGAAACTGATTTCTTTCTGGTCACACGTCTGTTACTACACTAGTTCTAAGAATATGTATTTATTACTGCTTTGTTCTGGAATTAAATATTCAGTAATTATTGCCTGTTTTTGTACCTGTAGCATTTTTAGGTTTCTTCCTTGTAAAATATGTATGCCATTAAGATATGGTATTATCAGAGGCGTCGCTAGGTGCTGGCACACGGGGCCTGAGCCCCGAATCTCAGTTGGTGTCTTGAAAAATCAGAATAGTAAACAATGATCGATATCACACTGAAACTGCAAAAATTCTCGCGCCCAAGGACCTGAGCACCGAATATTTTAACCACCTAGCGACGGCTCTGGGTATTGCGTTCACTTGAGAGAAAAGACGTGAACTTAGCTAGATGCATTGTGTGTGTGTGTGTGTGTGTGTGTGTGAACAGTTCCAGTTTAACGCTAAGTGAATGATAATATTTAGTGTAAAGATAAACTAATGTTGTTGAACAATAACAGAAGCTGTTGAAATTTAAACGAAATTCTATTAACACATTAAGCCGTTTTTTCCTTTATATAATGCTATGTTTTTTTAAGAGAGTAAAAATTCAACAAATTTGAACAGAACTACAGCCTTTGCTACTTCTACAGAAAGATTCCCCATTAAAGGCGCTGTTCTTCATCCAAAGATACACATATTACTATTTGGATTGTCTTTTTGAATAAAGAGTGTTTCTTTGAGTTGCATGTATGAAAGGAATCCCTTGAAAATATCACAAGAATGGGCAGCAGTAACACAATATCAAACAGATGGAAACTTTGATGAAGAGAAGAAAAATGATTTAGTAAGTGATTTTGAAGAAGGAGAAAATCAGATTAAAATCGAGCCAATTCTTAAAGGAACTTCAATACCACAAAGGAACATACAATAAAAAACCCTCTAAAAATACCACACCAAAGAAAACCTCTAAAAATATCGCAAAGAAAATCCCTAAAAATATTGTCAGATATAAAAGACTGCTTAGTGTAGGTGGCATTATTAATTAATTTATTGTGTGCTTGTACTTCATTGATGTCGAGGCTATCGAATGTTATGTGCAATCCATTGTTGTCGAGAGTACAGAGATTTCTAGAAGGCCTAAGTGATAGACGTATAAATAGCTGCGAACAGACGAGCGAAAACAGAATAAAAGTAGTCACGGGAAAGAGAAAAGTAAAAAAAAAACACGTAAAGTTAACTGTCGTGGGAGTGAATGGCCTAACAGTTGATATATTAGTGTGATATTAACAGTTTTGAACAAGATAAGGAGAATAGCTTGTCTCATCAAAGGCTATTATAAACTAATTGAACCCACCTGTGTGGACTCTGACAAAAGGCAGAAGATTACTAGAAGTACGAAAAGCAGACGATTATTGGAAATTCGGGATACAATTAAGGATAACTCACGCGACAACGTAAGTGCATTATACATGGAAACTATTGCGATGAAAATAGAGAAAAACAGTTCGGCTTGTCAACTGAATTCTAAAGCAACTGAATTGACCAAATGGACTTTTGACAAGAAGAAGAGAAGTGTATAGTGTTTAAGATACAACTATGATCTCTACATTGTAAAGAATTTTGTACATACATTTAATTCGTTTCGAATACATATATTATTTTAAAAACAAGTGGAGTGCGTATTGTTCGTTTACTGTAAAATTTATCGCCAACAAGTCACAGACACCTACTGTAGAAGAATCCTTAGCCCAACACACACACACATATTTACATTACTGTATATACTACTAAAACGTAAGTTCCCGACAAGTGTCATACAAAAGAAAATCCCTAAATAAATCACACAAAAGTGAACCCTTAAAAATATCCCACAAAAGTAAACTCCTAAAAATATCACACAAAGGTGTAACAGTAGCACAAAATAGAACAGGTGCAAATTGAGATAAAGGGAAGATTAGAAGTGCCTGTCCATTTCGGTGCATGCGAATATTATCAATAGAACGTAAAGAAACCTTCCCAAATGGGGAGTTTTTTGTTTTTTTTTAACAGGCCAATGTGTTGTTCAAACAGATGCTTCCTGTCAAAAGGCATGCACGACCATGCCTGGTTTACAATTAAGAATTTCAACGTTTCGGATTAGATTCTGGTTTCTCCAGATTCCAGTGTTCAACCATATAGAAATCCACGAGAAAATCTGGAGACTGGAGGAGTTTACTTCTAAACACTAGACATCAACAGTAAGAATGAAAATGAACTACACCAGACACGTGCATGTTCTTCTGAGTTTTCCAAACAAGAGTGGTGCCACACCATACTACAACTACTTACTTTGTTTTTGCAGGGCAGTTTATTATGTAGTATACAGCTCAGAATAATTCATATATATATGAATGATTTTGGGCTGTACATATGTATGCCTCTGATGATGAGAATAACCAAAACTACCAACTCAGTTTTGAAACAATGGTGAACTCGCAATGATATGTTGGTAAATAAATATATAAACTATATTCAAATGTCGATGTGCAGAGCTGCTTTGATGGTACAAGCATTGTAAACAAATCACAAGATCAGTTGTTAGAATTAAATTTGGGTTATAGATGGATAATCCACACATGCTGTCTTGATCCTATCAGCTATGTTTATAGAACTTAATCGTCAAACTGCGTGTTTCTCTAAACACCATGTTTAGCGTTAAATGTTACTAAAACGGTCCTTTCATTAATAATAACTATAATCTACCTTCGCAAGAAGGCTCCTCCCCCTCCCATTCTTTGTCATATTTACACTGTCTTGTCACGGAACCTGACAATCGGTAACCATGGTGACATTCGTATTTCACTACAGAGTTATAGGCCAGAGTAGTGAAAATAGCTTTTCCGTTAGGTGGAGCTGCAGGGACAGGACATTGGACAGCTAAATAGAAAAAAGAAAGAAAATGATATTAAACTTATTTTTTATACTTAGACCTTTGTGTTTAATATGTAAAACAAACAAAAAAAAAGAAATCTCGTTAGGTTTCTAAAATTAGTATTGAATTAAAATTTCAATCCTTAATCATTAAATCAAAACATTTCCATTCTTATATTCTCTTTACTTGAAGTAGAAAATCAATTAGGGTGAAGCAACTGCTTGAATTTCTTTTAGAAACCTTAGAAAACGATACTTGCTTTCATATTTGAAGACTTTGGAAAATTAATGAAGCATTTTGTGACTTCGAAGTTAAATTTATATTTTCAAAATATGATAAAAATATCGAAAAATGCTTGTTAGACACCAATATTGAGTAAATTGAAATCTAATTTTATCCCACAACTATTTACTCTTATCGAACAAGATACTCAAGCATATTTTACAGATAGTGATTTTAATTTTACCGTATATATATATTATTTCAAAAAGGATTTGCAAACGAAAATCAATATGAATATTTTATAAACAGCATAACTGTATTCCACAGTATTTCATTAGAGCTACTGATTGGTATTAAAAGCATATTAATGTATTTACTCTAATTTTGGAAATACTAACCCATTTTAAGACCATAGATACCAAACTGAAAATTTTAAAATGCCTTTTAATTTCATCACAATCCCATTTTACACATTTCTCCATTATAAGGAAACTTTTTAAAAATATTTTGCATCATGTTTGCTTCTAATAACGTTAACGTTCACTAATTTTATTAAATTTGTCATTAGGCAAGGAAACGACAGTATTTTTATTTCCAATGCACTTCTTCAGTAACCTATCCTGCCATTTTGGAACCGTAGCATAATTTCAAACAACGCATAAAACTACGATACCAAAGGTTTTCCACGTCGACATACTTAAACTTAAGTATTTAGGCATTCGCGTTAAATACTGTGTGATTTATATATATATGGTTTACAAGTAGTTCCACATTAAACATATTTATAAGTTAGTTTTCTATTTCCGAATTTCATTCCCATTTTTACACATCAAAGTCGTGTATTTCCCTCCGTTAAAACAGCATACATTATGGGTAAAAACGCATTAGACAGTACTGCATGTAATCTGAAACCAATCGCCCAGAAAAAAACAGATGTGGTCAAGCCGATGTTGCGTACATATCACGAGGACCACCTATAACATTTATTGATTGTTATCCGTTTCCTTCCTAACAGATAGCGCCACGTGTCACACTGGTGCATAGTTTCATTGCTAACATTCTCTTGTTATCAATAAAACTAGCAACTTCCACTCCAATAGATGACACTTTCAGAATAATTAAGTAACTTAGTTTATATTCAAGTCACTGAAGTTACGTAATAGCACTTGGACGGTAGATTCCCCGAGGAAATATTTTCCCAAGAATAGTTTTGTTTTAATGTTTATATAATTTTAGAATTTTAGCTTCCCGGTATGAGTAGAATAGCAGTAGCTTTACTCTTAGCCTAGGAAAACCTAGCCTGGCTTTGCTTGTTAACGCCGTTGTTATGCCGGAAAAATCTAACCTGGCTTTGTTTATAAACACCGTTGTTATGTATGCCTTTTGTTCATCATGGCTTTATTTTAGTCGATCAGTAGCGTTTTCATTTACTTTATTTGGAAACTTCATAAGTAACTCAATATTCGTGTCATGCCCAAGTTACAAATCCCGTTACTGAACATGCTTGCCGTTTTAGCTATGGGGGCGTTATAATGTGATAGTCAATTCAGTGTTTCGTTGCTAAAATGAGTAGCGCGGGAGTTGGCGGTTAATGGTGTTGACTAGCTGCCTTCCCTCTAGTCTGTAGCCCAGGAGTTGGCGGTTAATGGTGTTGACTAGCTGCCTTCCCTCTAGTCTGTAGCCCGGGAGTTGGCGGTGAATGATGTTGACTAGCTGCCTTCCCTCTAGTCTGTAACCCGGGAGTTGGCAGTGAATGATGTTGACTAGCTGCCTTCCCTCTAGTCTGTAGCCCGGGAGTTGGCGGTTAATGATGTTGACTAGCTGCCTTCCGTCTAGTCCGTCACTGCTAAATTAAGGATATCTACTACAGATAGCGCTCGAGTAGCTTTGCGAAAAAGTCAACAATGAGGAGAAATTTTCTGGTTGTGTCTGCACAGCTCCAACTCTAAAAAGGTTTGTTTGCCTGTAGTTAAGCACAAAGCTACACAATGGGCTATCTGTGCTCTATAAGTCCGCAGACATACCGCTGTGCTGAAAATGTTGCATAGACTGAAAATAACTGTCTACATTCCTTCCTATATCAAAATACAGTTTCATCCCTTAATTTCTGGTGCAGTTATGAGTAAACAGAGAGAGTGTGTTCTATAACAAATTCATAAGTACCTTAAAGTAGAGAAGTTTATATACCAACTGGAAAAGCAAGTTAAAAGACGAGAGAGAAGGAAACTAGTTAAAACCTCAGAAACTTGAAAAACGTGACTATAATACAGGCTGAACAGAAATCCAATCTGACATACATTTCAAATTCATGCAACATTTAACGCTAGCAACCGGGTTTCGATACCCGTGGTGGACAGTGCACAGATAGCCCACTGTGTAGCTTTGTACTTAACTTCAAAAAACAAAAAAACGAAACGTGATAAACATCATTTGACTTTTTTTATAAAGACCAATTGGTTGAGACGGAAAATAAATGTTCATAGATGGCGCTTATACAGTTTTCATTTGTAATAATAATGTGTAATGAGCTATATCTGAAAATAACGAATCTGCAGCTGCTTGCTGTAGTATAACGAGCATCTAATATCATTTCAGATATTATGTTTCATTCAGTTTTAGGGCAGACAAGTTTTAGTCATTGTTTGCTAGAGAACATTTAAGCAATGAAATTAATTAGGACTTGTAACAGGGCAATCGTGATTACAAACACAATACTTAATTAATTAGGGCTAGTAACGGGACAATCGTGATTATAATAACAATAATTAATTATGACTTGTAACAAGGCAATCGTGATTACAATCACAATACTTAATTAATTAGGGCTAGTAACGGGGCAATCGTGATTATAATAACAATACTTAATTAATTAAGGCTTGTAACAGGGCAATCGTGATTACAATCACAATGCTTAAATAATTAGGGCTAGTAACAGTGCAATTTTGATTACAATCATATTACTTAATTAATTAGGAATAGTAATAGGGCAATCGTGATTATAATTACAATAGTTAATTAATTAGAGCTAGTAACAGGGCAATCGTGATTATACTCACAATACGTAATTAATTACACCTATTGAGTTCTGATAATTTTCTAACAATAACATACCGACACCAGTAATTGTTTTTACGATAAAACTACACTCTGTCCACCGCGGGGAATCGAACCCCTTATTTTAGCATGTAAATACGTTGGTCCACTGGGTGGACGAAACTAGAAGTATAAATATAAACATGAAAATTTTTTGAAAACGCTTGAAGTAGCTAACACTAATAGTATAAATAATGGAACAGCTGGGTGCTGTCAGAAAATACAAAAATGGGTTAATTTTTTTAGAACAGAGAGCGAGAACACAAGGTCAGCATTTGGGTTAAAATACCCATATTGTTCTTGATGAAAGGTTAACAACCATTTCTCTTTCTTTAGAATTTAACCAGTTTTGTGAATTGAGCTGATGATAGCAAATGCACTGTTTTAAAAATATAGGATTGATTTTGGTAGTATTTGATGTATCTGACCCATCCTTTAACACCTTTCTCTTTAGCTATGGCTTAGTGGTTAATGTGCTGGACTGTGGATCCGAGGTTTTGTGGCTCTCACCCCATTACGGCCCAAACAGAATAGTGCTTCACACCTTGGGGGTTGCGAATGCATTACAAGAATGACGTTCAAATCCATCTATCCAATTAGAATAGCCCAAGAATTGGCGGTGGGTGGTTTTGACTAGTTGCTTTCCCTGTAGTCTATCACTTCACAATTAGGGATGGTTGGAACAGATATCCCTCGAGTAGCTTGGCGCGAAATTCAAAACAAACTTTTATTAATATTCTACATTTCATTCTGTAAAAACAAAAAACAAACAACTCATAATCCAATTCATTTAATGTTAACGAAATAATTTTATTTAATCGACTGTAGTTCCTACAAATTAGCTTCATTAATGATTCCTTATAGGCCTAATACGACTATCTCACCTACTTACTAACTTCTTTCGCACGTACGTCACTTTCTTGTACGTCTATTTCTTCGTCGAAATCCAAATTAAATACTTACAAAACTGAACTAACAGATAAACTGACTAACAAACGCAATTATCAATCAAACATTTTAAAAGACGCACAGACTAATAATAATAATCTACTTTAGATTAACTCGGTTTTTATACTGATTCAAACCATTCTAAAATTTTCAAGATTCCAATCGTTAAGTCACGCTAAACGGGGGATGACGTAACTTTCTCTGATCAAACAAAAATATCTAAACTGAAACCCTAGTCTACAACAATATAAATACTAATTTGTTAAAATGAGTGGAATACAGTTTAGACTGGTATTTTGATACATAAACCAGATTCAATACGTTGCCTAATTCAGCCTAAACTTCATTCTATCCAATATAAACTAGGCAAACAATATAGTGACTTATGGTCATTTTCCACAAGCCTATCACGAGCTTCTTTGCCAACAAAGCATGTTATTACATTCTCTTATTTAAAGTTTTAGTATGACAATTTGTATTATAAGCTACCGCCTTCCCTAAATGTATCTTTTAATAAACAAATGCTGTATTTGCATGAAAATTTTACGTTTCTTTGCCATCACGTGCTGTGTTACTTGAAGCAATGCTAAACAAAAATGAAATCTTCCAGAATAATATATAACCAATATAACAAAAATATTATCAACTAACGTTTACAGGAAGGCAACACGCCGCTCCACAGACCGCTAGCATTACAGTACCGAGTGCTGGGACCTTCGAGTTCAAACCCCCGATAACAGAAATACACGACACTCCGGCTGAATGTAAATATATTTCCGCTTCTGTCGCCATTTCTGACATATCCGGGATCACCACAGTTTCGAGCTGAAAAAGAAAAAAAAAATGACAAAAGTACTGTCTGCAATAAAAATGATAAATCACATAGATACATAGAGAGGCCCTTGTATCATTCATATTCTCACGTCAGGCATAATATTAACTTTTACTATTATCATGATTTTTATACTCCATTTAGAGACAGAGAATTATTTGTTTTTACTCTGCACACGGTACTTTGGCGACTAAAATCTTCTACATATATATATGTTGCCTGTTATGTATATTCAGATTTATAGAAATATTACAAGTTTTACAATTACTCAAAGCTTCGAAAGAGATAAGGCAATAGTTAAAAAATTGTATTATGTGTTTTTCTGACCCTATTTTATAAGCTTGTGATAATTAATTAATTTCAGGATTTTTTTTTCATCTTTTGAAAAATATTTTTAGAACTTTGCTTCACGTTTCGTTAAGTGTAGGTGATGTTGCTGTTCTATAACAACAGCAATAATAAATACCATTAATGACTCAATGATAGCTAACCATTGTACTTACGAGTGCAATGTAAGTCCGGACCAAACCACTGAGCTGAAGTGTTGTAAAACATACATTTAGCTCGTGGTAGTCCTACCACCTGGTAGCCGGGGAAACAAGTATAGTTGACGATCGTATCTACTTCAAACTCCTGCTTGTCCAAGCTAGCAGAGTATCTTGCATGGTTAACAATAGGTGGCGAACCACACAGAGCTGGAGGGGGAAAAAGGTATATTTATCAAAACTGTTTCTGTCAGATTTGTCTTTCTAAAAAAAAACTGTAAAAATATTTCCACATGCTTTGCATTATTTTAGCAGAAGAAACAATAGGATATGAGGTTTTCAACAGAAGAACAAGAGGAGCGTTACAAGATACGAAACAGGAAAAAGTGAAGGAAATAATGAGTTTGTGGGTGTGAAAAACACACGTGTTGTTAAATATGGAGAAGAACACAGACGATATAGTCAGAATACGCGGGAAGAGCAGCAAAATAAGCAGTAGGTAGAATGGAGAACAACTTGCTAAGTACAAACATTTAAGAATATCCAGTTCAAAGGGTATATGTATGCAAGTAAATAAGAATGTATAATAATGTGTCAACCACACTATATCCAGGGTCAACGAGGCCAACACCAGGGCTCGTCAGGCCGGCCGAGATACGACAGCCACAATATTTGTTCAGACACTATTTTCTTGACAAATTGAATGGATAACAATCGTTGTTCATGACGTTAGGAAAACACGTTGATTCAAAAACTCAATTAAAGATAGAAATACTAAACCCTATAACCCGCGCGCTTTCGAAAATGGATCTTTCTTATTTAAAGGCAAACTGGGAATGAGCTTGTTCCTGATAAAGAAAGGTCAATCTTTCCAAAGCGCTCTTGTTTTAGGGTTTCGTATTTTTGTCAACAACTGTTATGGTATGAACCAGATCAATTGGTGAAGTGTATATATATGTATCAATCAATTTAATACGAGCCATTTACAAATCGGAATAAGGGCTAATAACGCAACATTATTTATTTATTTATTTTAACGACAATTAGCTATTACTATAGGTCACGGGCGCCCGCAGAAAAAATTAGGGGGGGTCATGTAACTGAAGTTTGAAAAAATTATGAAATCGAAATAGTTTTCTTCTATGGAAGACTGGAAGCCTGACATAACACCTAACGACGGCCAGAGAATTGACTGGTCAAAGCGTTGTGAAAATAATATTACACATAATAAAGACGAGAATAATAATCTGAATAATTATACCATTAGTAATACTCATACCTCGTCTCAATCGTTCCGCAAAATAATCAGCTATCTTTACTTGAATTAACTCATCATTCAAAATAACTGACGAACCAGCAAGTATCCAAGACAAATGTTGTACAGATATAGACAGTAGAGTGTTTATATAAAGGTTTGAAACATCTTCTGGTGGAAATATTACAATTTGTTTTCCAATATAACGTTTCGTCTCTAAAAGTAAGGCATGGCCAATTACAATTTTCGAAGTGTAAGCGCCTTCAAATTACGTCTTATTTAAGATAATGCTAATCTGATCTGTAACTTTCTTAATGTAAATAATTCAATACAAATATAACGCCGATGCTAGTGTTTTATTTACGTTAGATTTTAATTCTTTGCTTCTTGATATTTTCCTCTGTTTGGGTTTTGTTTGCATGCAATATTTGTATATTTTTGACATTCATTTGGTGTTGTTTTTTAATGATGTGTTCATGTATGTTTCGTTTTTCATGTTTGTTGCACCCAGTTCTTGTTTTCCTACTTGTTTTTCCTATTAAAAAAATTACATTTTGTATACTGTGCCATTACCATATTTTTCATTATGATATAATTTTGATATAATAATTTTAATATTAGTTCCTGGTTTAGTTAGTTGTGTTTTTTACGTAATTTATACCATAAACCAATTAATGTTTCACCAAAAAATACGTACAGATGGTATTGAACTATGTATATATATACATATATTTGTTGTTTTATTGTTCTAGTGTTTGGTAAATTTTCTTGTTATCTTTGTTTTATCCTGTTTTTCTTGTTTGTTTTAGCGCTTATATTTAGAGGTTGTTGGTTTTTTGTTTTGAAGTATTCTTTTATATTTTGAATTCAGTTTTCTGCGGTTTGATTGATGCAGTAGTATAAGTGCTGTTAATACACGGACGTTTAATATTCTAATTTTTGCTCTTTTTATTATATGCGGAAAACCAGTTTACATAAGTTCCATTAAGTCTTAACCAGTTTATATAAGTTCCATTGAGTCTTAACCAGTTTATATAAGTTCCATTAAGTTTTAACCAGTTTATATAAGTTCCATTAAGTTTTAACCAGTTTATATAAGTTCCATTAAGTCTTAACCAGTTTACACAAGTTACATTAAGTCTTAACCAGTTTACACAAGTTACATTAAGTCTTAACCAGTTTACATAAGTTCCATTAAGTTTTAACCAGTTTACATAAGTTCCATTAAGTCTTAACCAGTTTACATAAGTTCCATTAAGTCTTCTTTTGGTGCATTTTCAAACCGAATATTTCTTTTGTTTTTCTTATGTTTAAATTTAGAAAGTTTAATCAACCATTTTCTATTTTTTATTGTAAATGTAAGCCTTTTTGCTGTTTATTAACATACTTTCTTCTCCTTCCTTAGAATCACATAGGATATCATTAATATATTCCCGCCAGAAAGTGGTGAACACATAGCTGTATTAATAGCCTTTGTCGCTATGCTAATGAAGAATTTGTCAATACTGGAGATAATGGGATTCCAATTTTTAAGCCTTCTCTTTGTGTATAGAAGTTGTTTTTTCGGCAAAATGAAACAGTTGGTAGTTGCTAATTCATGCTGTTTCATATCTTCTAAAGGCATTTTCAAATATTTCTTTTTGTCATGCTTATTTTTGTTTAGATCAATATAAAGTAGATTAGAGAATGTAGAAAAAACAACAACAAAGAACCGTAACAGATTATAGTCACAGTAGAACAGATCATTGAGTTAAAAAAAGATCAAAAGGCTATTCAGAGATAGAATCGCAGAGGTAACACAGAAATCTTTATATTCACACTGAAATAGCGTAGTAGCAGGAGGGGCACAGTGGCAGTAACAATGTTCCCAAGCGATTAAGGAACGTGTAAACTTCAATATAAAGAAGTGAGAAGAAAGCACAGGATTAACGCAGAACAACAATGAAAGTGAAATTAGCTATTAAAAATTATGAAACACAGTGAATGTGAAAAAGTGATTTGAAGAAAGGTCAGAAACAACTTTACACTGGTGTTGTTGGTTCCAGTATATTTATCGTATTTTATTTATCCCAATAATAAGCCCCCTCCCCACAGTGGCACAGCGGCATGTCTGAGGACTTAGAACGCTAGAAACCGGGTTTCGATACCTGTGGTGGGGAGGGCACAGACAGCCTATTTTGTTGCTTTGGGCTTAACTTCAAACAAACACAGTAACAAAACTTGAAATTGCAATTTTTGAGTAAATAGAGACGCATATCGTTTCAAAATTATCTTAATTGCACATTACAAAAAAAAAATTGAGAGAATCTTTTGTCGTACATTGAATATTACAACAAGCGAGCTCTGCTACTGAACGAAAGGTATCCTGGGTAGGTAGGTACTTGTGGGAGACAAAAGACCAATACTCAAATTGAGGTGGAGGGGAAGAAGAATCTCAACCCCCTAGTTAACAATACGGGCCTGGGGCAGCATTTCGAGAAAGAGAATTCACGTGCGTGATTCTCGCTGAGCCAGATTTTATCTCCTCCAACCACTGGTACAGCTGTTTTTTAATTAACTCTTTAATGTTTGATTGATGCAAAATGGATCAGCGATAAGTTTATGGACTTACAACGCTAAAATCCTGGTTCGATTCCCCGCGATGTATAGAGTGCAGTTAGCTTTTTGTATGGCTTTGCACTAAACAAATGATGCAAAGTTATTGTTGCATCATATATTTAGATCTTATTACTAACTAATCAATGAAGTAATTAACTTAACGGTATATATATGCACGATAGTTCCAGTAGCGTGTACATTTCTTTGATTATATTCATAGAGTTTTCCGTGTCCACTAGTTACACTTCGAGTTATGGAAAATATAGATCTGAAATGGTACTTTTATGTCTCTGGTTTGAAATCCGAGGTGGACAATGTAAACGAAAACACATTTACAGTCTAAGTGATTTTTATCATGAATATTAGGCCTATTAGATAAACAGGGTGGGGTGAAAGCTGCTATCTAGTTGGAACTATACGGCTGGCATGGTTGGTACGGTTGGTATGGTTAGTATTATATACGGTTGGTATGGTTAGTGTTATATGCAGTTGGTATGGTTGTTGTTATATGCGGTTCCTATGGTTGGTATTATATACGATTGGTATGGTTAATATTATATACGGTTGGTATGGTTAGTGTTATATGCAGTTGGTATGGTTGTTGTTATATGCGGTTCCTATGGTTGGTATTATATGCGATTGGTATGGTTAATATTATATACGGTTGGTGTTATATGCAGTTGGTAATAAATAAAATATTACAAAGACAACTGAAAACCAATATAATTATTATTTGTTTCTGAGTAAAGGTTAGAAACTGAATTATGTTCTAAACAAAACAAGTGTGTAATCACTTTTGTCCCACCCTGTATATGATAATAGAAACGAATTTGGATAAACCACTGTTAATTATTTATTGACCTTAATCTGCGATCTTTAAATAGAGTAAACCGCTTTATTAATGAGCTTTCCCAGACGAAATCTGGTCACTCAACTTGGTTTTCTCCTGAGATACTTAACTGGGCTTTGAAGGACACGTGTAAAAGGTCAAATTTTCCTTGCTGGTGAGATAATGACGCTACACTTATTATAATGGCTCAACAGAACAACAAAAATAAACCAACGTACAGAAACAAATAGTTTAACGAATTTCTGAATTGATCTGACTCAGTACAACAAATTTTAGAAATTGTTGACTACGTACAACAAACATCTGAACTGGTCTGACTCAGTACAACAAATTTTAGAAATTGTTGACTACGTACAACAAACATCTGAACTGATATGACTCAGTACAACAAATTTTAGAAATTGTTGACTACGTACAATAAACATCTGAATTGATCTTACTCAGTGCAACAAATTTTAGAAAATGTTGACTACGTACAATAAACAACTGAATTGATCTTACTCAGTGCAACAAATTTTAGAAAATGTTGACTACGTACAACAAACATCTGAGTTGATCTGACTCAGTACAACAAATTTTAGAAATTGTTGACTACGTACAATAAACATCTGAATTGATCTTACTCAGTGCAACAAATTTTAGAAAATGTTGACTACGTACAACAAACATCTGAATTGATCTGACTCAATACAACAAATTTTAGAAAATGTTGACTACGTACAACAAACATCTGAATTGATCTGACTCCATACAATAAATTTCTAAATTGATTTGACACCGTATGTCAGAATTTAAAATATAGTTTTAGGTTTTCGCCAATTATCAAAATAAAAGGCTTTTACTTATATTTCTTAATAGTATAAATATATACTATGTAGTTGTTGGGCTTACGATTCTTCTACAGTAGGTGTTTGTGACTTGTTAGCGATGAATTCAACAATGAATAAACAGCACACACTTTACTTGTTTAGGCATATCATAAACACTATATATATATATAATTCTCTTCTTCTAGTCAAAGTCCACTTGGACCAATTCACAATAATATCTGAGCTAAACAGTCCTTTATATCATGACAACGTACAACAAATTTCTGAATTGATTTTATTCCGTACAACAAATTTTTCAAATGATCGATAATTACTCTTTCTGAACAAGCGTTTTTCTTTTGTTTAAAAAACGACATTCTAATAGGTTATTTTCGACGAAGATTACCAAGAATTATACGCTAGTGCTCGTTTCTTAACTCTAGATACTGCTCGGGCAAATAAATTTCAGGTTAAATTATATTTGATATTTTCAACTTCAATAAATAACAATTGAAAGTGCGAGACATATGTAGCGGCATACTGTGCCTCAAACCTTATAATACACAGCCCAGTATGCTAACTACTAGGTCTCAACCCACCGTTCAGTTTAATTACTTAAATATAAAGACACACGATCTTGGTTGCTGTTATATTTCCAGGGATCCTGGAGTGCGTGTGAGTGGGGAGGGGTGGGTAGAACAATATTAACAGAAGATAAAAAAGCACTTTGCATCCGTACTGTTATAATCCGTATTAAATCTAACTTAGTTCAACACCAGTGAAGGTTTTTACACGCACTTACGTTTTTTCTTACAAGCAGGAGTCTTACCACTCCACGAGCCGTCTCCCTGGCACACTCGCTGTCTTGATCCCGACATCCAGTACCCACTATAACATTTGTACGTAACCTTTGACCCAAATATGTTACCAGTGGCTTCAGGTTGACCGTGAGCGATCGGTTCTAAGCTCTCGCATTGCAAGTCTGCAGAATAAAATCCTTCACGTTAGTCATTGTTAGTGTATTGTTAATACAAATGGCAAAGTTAGCACTAAAGTCATGTTGATTTTACAACCTAAAATAACATATCTACTTTTGTTAAATTTACTACTACTGTTTTAGTAAATTGCTGTTGTTAGTGAATCTTGACACAGTGTCTACTGTTTTCACCTTTAAAGTAATATTTTCTCATTTTAATAAACTTGTTGATACTTCTTGCTTACTTACACATTCTTAGATTAACTGTGGTATTCGTAGATCAACTGCGGTATTCTTATATTAACTGTGGTATTCTTAGATCAACTGTAGTATTCTTATATTAACTGTGGTATTCTTGGATTAACTGCGGTATTCTTAAATTAACAGCAGTATTATTAGATTAACTGTGGTATTCTTAGATTAACTGCAGTATTCTCAGACTAACTGATTTCCGCAAAGAGTGTTAGGTAGGCCCCCTTTGCAATAGGAGGATTGGCAGGATAAATCATAAAGTCCTCTGAGTTTTAAGCTAAGAAAAATAACGAGACTGGACGAGATGTGTAAAGCAAAATTAACAATATTTATTTATCAAAAGAAACAAACACAATATGCATATTTGTGTAGGGCAAAGAACGGTCACATTATATTGGATATATGAACTGATTAACAAATTTTCCTTTTTCATGATGTCTTCTCGTCAGCTGACTCATTTTATAAACCGAGTAGAGCTGTAAGAATCCAATGCTCCTTTCTTAATATCGGATTTGCCAACAACGACTAGCGCAACCCATATGACTGCTCATTCTCATTGAACATAGGGGAGGCCATAATCTCTAGATATTAAATGTTCTGAACGTGAAAGCCTTAAATGGTCTGATGGTTAGGGCACTCGACTCGCCATCTACCTGTCGCGGGTGCGAATCCCCGCCACAGAACATGCTCCCCATTTGAGCCTTGGGGGCGTTATAAAGTGACGGTTAATCCCACTTTTCGTTGGTAAAGAGTATCCTAAGAGTTGGCAGTGGGTAGGGCTGACTAGCTGCCTTCCCTCTAGTCTATCACTGCTAAATTAGGGACGGTTAGCCCAGATAGCCCTCGAGTAGCTTTGCGCAAAATTCAAAACAAACATTAAACTGACAGTGATGAACATTGCTACCGTTGATCTTCTTGCACAACGTGCTGCGTTACAGCAATAATTCCACAGGCGGAGCAGATATTATCCCTAAAGAACAACAAAGTAACAAAGTATGTGTACCAAAGCGTTGCTAAATAACTCAAATATGTACATCTTACTATTTCAGCTAAGAGATTTAACTCAATTACATTCATAATAAGTTGAACAGATTCTCTGGAACTAACATTTCTACTTTAAGTTTAGCTATTGTCTTTGAATCCGCGATCTCTTGCAGTACTTTTGATACTTGAGTTAGACACTTCACATCTCAGTGAAGGTTTTTGTAACTTGATTTAGACACTCCACATCTCAGTGAGGGTTTTTGTTACTAGAGGTAGACACTCCACATCTCAGTGAAGGTTTTTGTTACTAGAGGTAGACACTCCACATCTCAGTGAGGGTTTTTGTTACTAGAGGTAGACACTCCACATCTCAGTGAGGGTTTTTGTTACTAGAGTTAGGCACTCCTCATCTCTGTAACCGTCAGTGAAGGTTTTTCACATACCTGAAAGTTTACCTGAGCATAAAAACGTTTCTCAATCTGTAGAAAGATCAAACTTTAATAACAACAACCCCACTAAGCTGTTTAAATAACATTTCCACAAGTTACAATGGATTACGGTCCACGATGAGAAAGAAGCTCAAAAGACATTACACAATCGAACTTTCTAGAACATTTTTGAATAGATTAACATTTCTTGTTTTCTAGAACATTCCACAATTAACCAACTTTTCCGTCAATCAAAACGTCTACCAGTAGAACAGACTTAATCGTAGAGAATAACCGACAAATATTTTATATTTCAAAACAAACAAAACGTTTCAGAACGCAACATAAGAAATCTTTCGAAGAGAACGGTGTAATGCTACCGTACAATACAGTACCAACAAGCATTTATAAATAAATGGCTCTGCCATTCGTATCAAATTTCTTGTCTTTACGTACCAACTAGTATTTGATTTAAAAGCTTCAAAATCGATTCAGGAAATGTTTCCGGGTGTGTACACGAAGAGAACACTTCTTGAATGTCGTCGAAACAATTGCGTGTAAAACGTTTAATCTTTTCATATGAGCACGTGCTCACAATGCTGAAGCATAGGTTATCACCTCAAGCAATATTGTTGCTATAGCAACATGTCTGTTTCTCTGCAGAGAAAGTTTTCAAATATTTGCATAAAATTTCAAACAAAGCACTTTGTTTATCAGGCATATAACATTATATTTCTTTCCTTATTACTCGATAGGTGAAATAAAATACATAAAAAAAAAAAATTGACTCGCATTTCAAAATAGTTTCCGTTAAGTAATATGAGGTATTATGAAAAAAATATTTCGTTTCATGAGTTCATTATCCATATGACTCTAACATTTGTTGTAGAGTTTATCCAGTTTAAAGAAAAATTAACGTATGACATAGAACTTTCAATATTATAGCCCCCAGTAGCACAGCGGTGTGTCTGCAGACTTACAACTCTAGAACCAAATTTCGATACTAGTAGGGGCAGAGCACAGATAGCCCTTTGTGTAGCTTTGTGCTTAAGTACAAACAAACAAATTCAATAATATAAAACTAGCATTCTCCGTCCCAGGATCCCTCTCCCCAGTGGCTCAGCGGTAACTTTGAAGGCTTATAACGCTAGAAATTGAGTTTCGATACCCGTGGTGGGAAGAGCACAGATAGCTCTTTGTGTAACTTTGTGCTTAACTCCAAATAAACAATCCGTTTCAGGAAGTGAGTCGAAACTGGCAAATTAAGTTTGGCCGAATAATAAGATGTCAAGCCAAGTTTGAGTTTATAACTCAAAAACCTCATTCTCCGACCAAAGTAGATGACTAAAACTAACAACTTCTTCTTGGTCGGGTGTCAAGACCGAGTCACGTCTGATTTCATGACTAAAAACCAGCACTCTTTGACAAAGATTCGTTGCTGAAACTTGCACCATCAATTTGACCAAATGACAAAATACGAAGGCCACGTCATGTCTGATTTCATGACTCTCTGAAATAAATTCGTCAAGCTAGATCTGGACACCGAAGAACCTGACGTCTTGGACATGGATAAACAATACAGTTTCAAAATGACTTTATAACTGGTAACTATGATCCACCTCTGAACTAATGATTTAAAGTGAACAAAGTAACGTATAACGAATTAGAGATGCTAGCAAAAACATACGCTCACTGTAACTTGAGCTGAACATGAAAGTCGACAAATCACTTGATTTAAAACACTCATCAGATATTTACATGAAAATCTTCTTGCTTGATTGTGAAATTTTAACTCGTGCTTCGGATGCAGGGGAACATGATGTGTTAGTGTTAACAAAGGCATTAACGTACAATTAACAGTTTACTCAATACAAATGTTACATGTTACTAAATGCATAAAATCATTAGAAACCTTAGAGTGCGGGTGGGTCGTGAGATAGAGTTCTAGATGTTCGAAGCTGTGTTCGAGTCTGTGCGATACCACAAAAGTTTTCCTGAACTTTGAAAAGTGAGTGCATTATAAGAGTACAATCAGTTCCTTAGCGTGGGCGTTGGGTAGTATAACGTTGCTGACTGGCTTCCTTCCTTCTGGTCCGTAGTTCAAAGTTAGAGATTGTCACCATTACTTTGACATGAACATAAATTGAAGCTTGCCATTCAGATAGGCCTATCTCTAAGGCTTTATTTGGATGGACAACAAGCACGTTACAGCAGCTAACAGATAGGCATCTAGATAAACAACAAGCACGTTACAGCAGCTAACAGATAGGCATCTAGATAAACAACAAGCACGTTACAGCAGCTAACAGATAGACAACTAGATAAACAACAAGCACGTTACAGCAGCTAACAGATAGGCATCTAGATAAACAACAAGCACGTTACAGCAGCTAACAGATAGACAACTAGATAAACAACAAGTACGTTACAGCAGCTAACAGATAGACAACTAGATAAACAACAAGTACGTTACAGCAGCTAACAGATAGACAACTAGATAAACAACAAGTACGTTACAGTAGCTAACAGATAGACAACT